TCAGAAGAGCTGTGTACAGTACACAGACATTTTACAATTTGATGAATATCCTATGTTTTACAAAGTAACCACACTGGCAGTCAAACAAATCTCAGGGTCTAATGAGGTCTTGAAGTCAAATACAATGTCTGTAGTATTACAGGGTTAATTTTAGTAATGGTTTCATTGCTGTTGATATCATGATTATTACTCTAACCCAGGAACTCCAATTAGTCATGGAGGGCCAGTTGGTCAGCTTACACCAGGGACTCCCATTCAGCCAACCAGTCAGTCCCTCTACAGTAATGTTGCCTTCACTCCAAGCAGGGACCAGACCAGCCTCTTGAGTCATGACACTTCCTTACAGACGTGAGTATTATTTACCATTTAAACATGTATTGGTGGTAAATTGAAAGATGTTTAAAAAATCATAGGAATTATGAAGTAACTTTCAGCATTGCTAATGTATATGTAGAAATGAAGATCTTCAATTTAACAGGTTGACAATATATTCCATTAGAAATTCACTCGGGATTACCCAAAAGAACTGATTTCATAAAAATTGCTAGTAACTAATGATAGATATTATAATGTTCAAGAGGCAACAATTAAAATATCATTACAGGTCGCTCTGTGATGCCCTTGAGGATTCTTGGGTAACTGTATTTGGCTTCCCAGCTGCTGCTGCTTCATACATCTTGACACAGTTCACACAGTTAGGAACCATTGTAGAGCATCGTAACCCAGGGACAGGTAACTGGATGCATCTAAAGTACCAGGTAGGTGTAACAGTAAGAGGATGACTGCATCTCTAGTACAGTGGACCGCAACTGGCGGGTTGCAGCCCCCATGAAAGTCTCAGAGGGTCAGTAGAAGGGTCACTAAGGCTACTGGAAAAATGTTAGCCTTTGTGTTTGTTAGTGTTCATACTAAGAATATACCAAGAAGCAGTGATTTAAAGAAGTATTATAGTACAGTATAGTAAGTAAGGCTTTTATAGATTGCACTTATTCTTCTTCCTTTCCTTCTTTCCTTCTTTTTTCTTTTCTTTTCTTCATTTTCTTTTTTCAATTTAATTTTCCCCTGTGAAAGATATGTAAATAGAATGGTGGAATATGTGTATTTAAAGTAGAATATTCAGAAAATTGAAAAATGAATACATCCTTTTTTCACTTTGGTAACTATTGAAGAACTTTTCAACAAATATGTGTCTTTTTTATTAATTTTCATCTTGTTTTTACCATGCAGACTAAATTACAGGCTAGAAAGGCCTTGAGCAAGAATGGTAAAGTATTCAGTGGTAACATCATGGTTGGAGTTGTACCATGTAGTGATAAGGTGAGTGCTTTGTTGGAATAATCATGTTTTGATGTAAGATATCATTGCAGATACCTTTGTTATAGAATTGTGACAAGATTTTTTAAATAATTTCAAATGTTATTTTATACACTTTTTTTCAGGCAATTACTGGAGATAAAGAAAATATGTCTGCAAACCTGAGTAATGTTATGTCACCAGACTCGAGCATGGTTGGAACACCAAAATCTAATATGCGACCTTTGACACAGGCTTATCAGACAGCTCATGCAGAACATGAGGTGAATATACACCTTATTTATGTACATCTTCTCTTTTGTATCTACTGATGTTATTTCTGTCTCAGACAAGCACAAATGAAAGCATCTGACATGTAAAGCACAGGTTCTGTCAGTGGAAACTTTATGATTAGCATGTTTATGTAAATATAGTCTTTTGTGTCAAAGATTTGATTACCTGACATTGGTAGACATGAGATTGTTGTTCCGATGGCTACAAACTCCCTCATAAATCTTATGCTTTGTAAGACAAGTTGCAGTTGGGGTTCAGATCATCAATTCAGATTTCAAGTCCACTTTTCATAGACATAAATGTAGGTTACCAGAAAGCTTACTGATAACAGATGAAATTGGATAAATAAAACAAACTAATTGATAAATAAACATAAGATTTGATATTTTGTTTATTTTGAACTTGCTAAACAAATATAAAGATTGTTGCATGTGTATTGTTGATAATATGCAACATATTTTCATCTGTACTTTTTAAAATTTTGTCACCCAAATTTTGCATTCTATATCTTTATTTTTCAGGTTGTCCCAAAAGTCAACACACCAAAGAAGAATGACAGTATAGTTTCTAAAGCAATGCAGCACATATTTGGGTTATAATGAAATTTAAACTATTTACTTTTGTTGGAGGATTTTTTTAATGCAAAATATTAAATGATCCAATTATTTACTAGGCAGAGGAGTCTTTTAAATCAGATAAAAATTATCTGCTATATATATGTGAAGTTTAATATCCACATTCTTCTCTTGTTGAATTATTACACTGTTGATATCACATTTGTAAATGCCATGGAATTATATGGAAGGACAACAGTTAATTTTTTGCTTGTTTTATGTAAATATTTTACCTTCATTATTTTTCAAAATAAAAATTCTTCTAACTCTTATGTAAACAAACAATAAAACTGTTTTAATTAATTAGTTTTTCCTCAAACCTTTCCAAGACACAGTAAGCACACAACCCTTACAGCAAGCACATTGCAAGTGACTGCAATGGGTGGGTGTGCATCTTATGTTCCCCTGGAAGGGTAAGGCAATGACAACACCGATGTCATACATCTCCAGATGCCATTTCAGGGAGAAAAATAGTATAGCATTATTTTCTTCTCTTTCCATAATTCTTCCAATGAATTTTAAAAATGTATTGATGGTAAAGTTTCATATAATTGTGCTTTGCCTCACAAGGGCTTTGTGTAAAAATTGCAAAAAACTTATACAGTATTGTCTACAGGATTTCTGTGACCAAAAAGCTCCAGTTCCCTGTGGTGTTGCTATGATTTCTTTCCATTTGTTCCAACTGCTGAGTTTGTTATAGTGTCTTTTATTACTTGAATGAAGTGGCTTTCCTTGGAGGTTACATCTGTGACACAAAGTTTCGTTTTGGTTTTTGAGTTGTGAGTACACCAGTGTTGGGAATATATATATATTTTTTTAAGCAATACCCTTTTATTTATCAGTTTTAGAATTTGAGCAAAAAGTTCTCTTATAGTTTTTTATTTATTTAATTAATTTATTTATTTATTATTTTTTATTCTTTTTTTTAGATTAAGAATATGGGGAACTTTACTTCACTTTACAGACACAATTTTTGTACACCAATGTCAAAAAAGATATTTTGATGAACATGTAATTTCAAGATGTATCTTCCTGTAACATTTCATTACTTTGAACTTTTAGATTTCAAAACTAAAAGCTTGTAACCTTGTTGAGTTCTAATAGATCCATTACCTGTCAATGATTAAAAACGAATGTGATTCAGCGAGTTTTCTACACAGAGTTCTATGTAGAAAGAATTTCACACTCAGTTGCTGAGTTAAAGAATGGACCAATGCAACCATAGCACCTGTTTCTTCAAATATATGTCAGTTTTTTACAAGAAATGGTAAAAGAATTTAATTTGTGGGCTAAAAATTCATTTTTACAGAGTGCACTAGCAATATAAAAGGCTGAATTACTTCCACAATGTTAAAATATGAATATCTACAAATGTATGTATTTATCTGTCAACAGATCTCTATATACATATGAATATCTTTATGTATATTATGTTATTATATATACAAATTTGTGGAATCATCACTAGTAATATTTTAAAAAATTAATTACATAGGACTGACAATATGTACATTATATATACAAGTAAATATATTTATTTGTAAACACATTTCTATACATATATGAATATATTTGTGCACATATATATATTATAATATATACTTAGCATTAAGTGCTTACGCATGTCTCGCTTACAGTGTATAGCCTCTCCTTCACAATTTCTACAGTCCCTCCTCATGACCACCCATGGAAACTAGGTGCTTTGCAGTCCTAAGCGGAAATGTTTAGAGACCTACATTCGGTTCGTACCATAATAATAATGAGATCGACCACATCCTCGTTTTAACTCGCTGCTAGAGGATCCTCTAGAAGTGCAGGGTCTACCAGAGCCATCAGGTCCATTTCAACATCCCACCCCCCCCTTTGCCCAATGCTTAACCCTAAGTATTTCATTTGGACTGACGAAAGGTCTGATGCAGTTCTGTCAGCAGGCGACCGCCCATAAGGCAGAATTTTATATCGCCCACATATCATCGTTCCATGGCGCGAAGGACAAGGACACTGTTCATAAGGATAAGGAAGAGGACATCAAGAACTTTGCTGAAAAGGTTGATGACCATTTCCTGGTAATTAGCCGCCCTGCCTAATAAGCCTTGAGAAAGTTAAACTCCAAGACCCGCACAGGCGACTGTAGTCTGCTCAGGAAATGGCCGTTACAGGTCGCACTGAGGGCACGTGGACGAGCAACGATTATTTGCGGCATAGCTTCTGAACTATTCAAGGCTGGTGGCAAACCTATGACATTTGTGCTGTCTTAACTGCCATCTAAGAGACCGGTACCATTCTCCCTGGCCTGTTGAGGGGCGTGCCCATCCTTCCCTAGAAATGGAAAGGGGATCGATGGGACTGCAGCAATTACTGAGGTATTGCACTGCTCAGCTTACCAAGCAAGATCCTCGCTCAAAGAAGACCTACTGAGGCACCAGGTCCTAACTCATAAGTATGGTAAATGGCGGACATTCGTCCTACCTCCTTGTGGCATCGTCTTAACCCGTATGCCTTTATCATAAACCCCCAAGTCTCGCCAAAAGTTCGGGCCATGACAGTCTGTTCGAGAGGAGGTTTAAGGGCTTACGACTGAATGTAACACTAAAGGTGACAGATTATCAACAATTTCGTACTTTTGTTAATAGATATTGTACAATTAGCAGATTTATGATATTGTAGGTGAAAACTGAAGTAAGTATAGATGAGTATTCATTCAATAATACATATTTTCTTACACGAATTTAAGTTTTACAGTAATGTTATTTATACGTTATACCCTGTAAATTTCTATACAGTCAACTGCAATAATTGATGTCTGACGGAACTGTTGTACGCCAATGTAACTGATTATTCTACTAACATAAAATCACTGAATGAAAAGGTTTACACTTTTATTCCACGAGCAAAACTTGTACCCCCTCCTCCTCCTACTTACCTCTATATGATTTATCATGCATCCCCACATAGAAAAAATGGACCATAGCAATTTTCATTTTCCTATTATCACACTCATTACACTTTTCTTTGAAAAATAGCATTTAAACACAAATTATTTGCCACGGTTTGCGTCTTGCACAAGATTATTCCTGTTTGTGACTCAGGCTTATGCCAACAAACGGTCAAGGCGATGCAGATGCCTCGATCCTTGAAAACTGGCCAAAGCGATTCTTCGTAGATAGTTAAAGCGATGCCGATACCATTACATGTACACCAATACAACATTATAAGAAAATATTCAAAATGATATGTAAATACCTGATTTGCAAGTTTGGTGCACTGCAAACAATATCCACACCACTTTTTTTTTTTTTTTTTTTTTTTTTTTTAACGTGCATGTAGATAACCAAATGATTACACTTGCAAGTAACAGTTGTGGCCAAAGAGTATTAAAAAGCCCTTCATTTATGACCAAGGAAAAGAAAAGATGGTCCCTTCTTTCATAAATCTTGATCGTCACTGTCGACAATGTGAGCGAGAGAGAAAAAAAGACAGATACAGAGGGAGAGGGTATGTGAGTGAATTAAAGATACAGATAGAGAGAGAAAAAGTAACAATTAGAGTGTGTGTGTGTATATATATACATACATACATACATACATACATATATACATTTATCTATATTATACATATACATATATTATATATATATATATAATATATATATATATATATATATATATATATATATATATATATATATATATAATATATATATATATATATATATATATATATATATATATATATTATATATAATATATATAATATAATATATATATATATATATATATATATATATATAATATACACACACACACACACACACACACACACACACACACACACACACACACACACACACACATATATATATATATATATATATATATATATATATATATATATATATATATATATATATATATATATATATATATATATATATATATATATATATATATATATATATATATATATATATATATATATATAATATATATATATCATATGCATAATATAACGTTGCACGCTAGCTCACTGACCATAAGGGTTTGCAAGCGCTCGCCATGCTTCTCCCTCGTGGGGCGATTCTAAATGTACGCCACCCAACCCTGTCTGGGTCGCGACCCAGGCCTATAAGAAGTCAGCTAAGTTGACCCAACTCACTCATTCACTCTGAATCGCCCTCTGCGGGAACGACCCGGCCCTCCGCGGTTCTTCCCAGCACAGACCAGTCGTATCGTGTTTATTTCAACTCGTCTTAACTCTTAAGAATATAGTCCCACCAGCATCAATGTGGGAGGTTCATGACCTCGCGAGGAGAGAGAGAGAGAGAGGAGGGGGAGGGGGAGAAAGGTGAGTCTTGTGAGTCGATTTTTTTCGATACATTTTGAGAAAAAACCCACCGAAAAAAACATATTGTTATTATTGCTACGTTCGGAACTCCTCTTTCTGTTCGTCCAGACTAGTTAGACAAGATGTTTTGACCGTTCGGTACCTCTATTTTCTTGTCCTGGACAAATTGTCCATCTCGCCCTCCTTCGAACCAGGGCGAGCAGGACGAGATGACGTCACACTAGCATTTGTATGTAAACAATGGCACTTACAGACAGCCACAAGATATTGCTGGGTAATTCTATGGCCCTTTGTTGATGTTATCAAAGGAATTTGGTAATTTTCTATATTACGTCCGCATGACCGATATCGACGATTTTGGTATCGTTGGATTCCTCTCACTCTCCACATTGCAAATATATAGTTTTTATTGCGCGCTAACCGCCCGTTAGCGACAAACTTGGCCTCGATAGCAGGGGAGGGCATGAAAGGTTCCAGGGAAAATGCGGGGTTAAATAGCACTAATAATACAACCCACAGTGAAAATAACCATGCTTATTCACATAACTTTCCATAATAACCATGGTTATTCACATAACTTTCCATTGCAGGGGGCTGCGCCCCCTGCGACCCCCCCTGGGGGGGGCTGCCGCCCCCCAACCGAGGAAACAAAACCTCCGCCATGTATTCACGGCAGGCTAGAGCGTTACACAATCATCGTCGATGTCGGTGCAGGGGGCGTATTACCTCGTAAGATTCTCACTGAATCAGCATATTAACCTTATTATAGTCAGCATTGTATATAGAGACGATTGTGGTATAATCAGGATAAACACGGTGGCCCGCCCTCGTCGGCGGGTTTTGCGCCTTTTTCAATGTTACACCGATGGCCTCAAAGTCGCGTTTCCCTTCCTCTGGAATAACGACATTCGTATTCCTACCCGAAATAACCGTCGCGTTCAGATGTCAGTCATAG